TCTATCTATCTATCTATCTATCTATCTATCTATCTATCTATCTATCTCTCTCTATCTCTCCGTCCATCCATCCATCTCTACATCTTTCTTCATCTTCGTCTCTAGATCTTTTCAAAAAGATTGGACAACCATTTGGCTGAAATAGTTTGAGGACACCTGCCTTGGTCAGGGGGCTGGACTAAAAGGTCTCCAAGGTCCCTTCCGATTCTGTTCTTGTGCGTCCTTCTCCTGCAACTAGCCAGCCCAGAAAGGATTCCTCCCCGCTCTCCCCGCTCATCAGAAAGCAACAGAGAGTGTTTGCTTTTCCTCTCACGTCTCATGGTTGCAACTAGCTTCCTCCCAGGGTGAGCTCAGAAGCTGAAGTCCCCTTGAACATTTTCCAGGTTTTTTTCCCCTCGGCCACCAGAGACAAGCTTCTTTCTGCTCTGGCTGAGAACATTCATCTCCAATTCTCCCTGATCTTGTTTCCTTTGTGTTTGTGGGAAAGGGGGTTGCCGAGAGGAGCACACCTTTCCGTTCAGGGCACAATTAAAAACACGAGGAACATCTTTTAGGCTTCTATCATCATCATCATCATCATTATTCACAAAAAACGACAGTGTACACAGCAAACGAGATAACTATGCTAGGTTTCATTATCACAAATCACTAGTCGAACACTTCCCAAGCGTTTAGGATTGTGTGATGTATTGGTGGGTGGTTATTATTATTATTATTATTATTATTATTATTATTATTATTTTGTATGTGTGTGTGTTCTTTCAGGCCTGGGGATGTAACGCCTCCTTCCTAAATGAAACTTCCAGTCTCCCCTCTTGAGTATCATTGCTAATTTGAGGATTAAAATAGGGCAGATGGCCTGAGAATTCAAGCCAGGGTTACAGGAGATGTCTGAGTGAAGAAATGGAACCAAACCAGGTTTTGGGGAGCGGGAGAAGCGTTACTAAGGTGAGATCAGGAGTGGCATTCAAAGATAGCAAATTTAGGGGGTCTGGGAGGGCAAAGAAACCATTTCCTTTTCTCCCCGGGGCAGGGCTGGGTTCACACAACTAAGCCACAGTGGAGTTGGGTGTCAAGTGGTTGTGGGAACTTGGCCATTGGGTTTCTCGTGTGGTCGGATCAAAAGAACCTGGATAAGTCCTAATGTGGTTTAGGGGGGCAATATGAACCTGAAGGACTGCAGCTCATCCAGAGGAATGTTAAAATTAACTAACGAATACTGATACAGGCTAGCTGACATTTTGATACTGTATTTTTTTTAAAAAAAAAAATAAGGAAATGGTTTGATTGTTTTTTAAATGGCCTTACTGTTTTTGTTTCTATGGCCTCCTTTAAGGAGGTTTTTCTGGAAACAGACAACAGGCAAAAGAGTGTAATGGCCTTTTTTTTTTTTTTTTTAGAAAAAAGAATGAAATAAAACAATAAACTAAAATAAAAAATAATAAACTAAAATAAATAAATAGAATAAAATACTAAAATAAAATAGAAAATAAAGCAAAATGAATGAAAAACTAGAATAAACTAAAATACACGATAAAAACAAATTCAAACAGGCTAAAATTAAACCAATGAAACATGAATTAAAATATATAGAAAAATAAACAAAACCCATGACAAAAAAACAAAATAAACCCAAATAATATCTAATATTATTAGTTTATTATTTCTATTTATTAATAAAAACTAATATCTAAAACAATTAAAAAATAATTACAATATATAGTACAATAGACCAAATTCAAAGCAATGAAAAATAAACTGAAACATATGACACAATAAACTAAAACATCAAAGCAATGGGGGAAAAAAACTAAGATATATACCACAATAAGCGAAAACATATAATAAAAAGCAAGAGAAACTCAAATAAGGAACTAAAATCTAAAGCAATAAAAGAACCACATTCTGTGATGAAATAATAGCAAAAATAACACGCTAAAATCTAACATAATCAACTAAAACCATCAATTAAAATAGAAAATAAGAACAGGAGAAAAACAAAAAACCCTGTCTGATCTTGAAAGGTAGCTAAGGAAGAAGAATGGTGCTGAGCCATCTTATTCCCCACGAAGTTTTGCAAGCATTTTTAAAGACAAACCTGAGCAAGGACAATTTTTAAATCAAGATTACAAATTCATCTTAACAAAGCTTCTCTCTTGGCTTGGGAGGTTTAAGGCAATGTTCCTTCCCTTATTGGTTTTGAAAAGGGCAACCAGAAGGTTTGGAAAAAGAACACCTTAACTGAGTATATTAAGCTGTTTCATCGCCTAATTTCTGTCCGACTCTAATTAAAACATACAGCTTTTTCCCCCCTCTATTCTCTTTTTCTTCTTCTTTTCCTTTCTTTCTCTTTTTTTTCCCTACTTCTGTTTCCACCACCGCCACCCCCTTAGAATTTTAACACCTTGAAACTTCATCCTAGTAATGAGGAATTATTTATAAACAGAGTCATCGGATGTATGCTTTGGTGCCAACACTAATCAACTTCTTCCACCCGCTTCAAAGCAAACTGAAAAAAAGAAAAAAAAATTAAAAAGCAGTTTTCTAGCTGCAGTTCCTTTTGAGGTTTAAGTAGGAAGCATGATTTAAAATTCAGACCAAAACCCCGAGGTACTGAAGCTTTAATACACTGCTTTCTTGGACAAACGTTTGATAAAAAAAACGAAACGTATCATTATACACACCGTATCATGCTTTAATATTGCCCAGGGCAACTATAAACGTTCGCTTTGTACTAAATCTGCTTTTCCTTCTGCTTAGGAACAGCTAGCAGACGTAGCAAATGCATTGATTTACACATTTGCACGCTGGGTTTTTTTTTAAAAAAAAAAATACCAAAAGTAAAATAAAAATCTTCCACCATCCCTAAACATATGTGATGGATTTTGGAGAGGAGAGGAACCAAAACTGAATTCTTCCAGAGGAAAATACGGGGAAGCTTGTAAAAAAAAAAAAACACCATTAATTCAAAACAGCCAAAACTAAATAAAAATTTAAATAGAGGCTGACCCACTGTTTTTTAAGGCTCTGAGGCATCCTAACTCATCCTGGATCATGGCAAAGAGAGAAAAATTAATTTTATTTCCCAAAAAAATGGATTTAAAATATGTCGGAAAAACACTTCGACAAGGGTTCCTGATTGATAATCGATACAGTTCCAAAAGTGCCTTAGTAGTTTTATTGCTTGTTGTTGTTGTTGCGTTTTAAAGGTTATTATTTTTTCCTCTGTAAGCAGCCCAGTGTGGCAGCAGGGAAATGGGCGGCGGTACAAATTTAATAGATAAAATTTCAGCATCCAAACGATCAGCGGAAGTAGAATTGAGCTTCTCCTGAATGCTGTGCCGTTTCAGAGATTATGATCTGGATTTATGGATGCTAAGAAATCAGGAGAAGGAGATGCCTGTTTGAGGCAGGTCAAAATATGTCACATTTTTGGTATCTTTGAAAAGAAAACTGTTTATGGGAACTACTGGAAAATGAGTCACTTTCTCCTTTGCTTCTTATTCTATTACCTATTATCTATTAGGTAAACTCTAAACCAGGACAGAGTTTGGCTTTTGGGCAAGCTGTAAACCAGGATAAAGTCTGGGTTTGACCAAATCTTGGCATAACATTATGAGCAAGCTAAAAACTCTGGCAAAATTGCTGAACAAAACCATTGTAATTCTGATTTGTTGTATTGTGTTATTGAATTTTTCAGCCATCTAAAGTTTCTTAAACTGGAATTGTGAGCTGTATAAAACAAGGCAAGTCCTTGGTTGTTGTTTTTGTTGTTCAGTCTAACAGAGGAGATAGAAATTTTGATTTTAGTTTGTGCCAACAGCTTCTTGCTTGGATATGTTAGAGAGAGACCCACCGGAAGCGTGGGGTGGTTAATAATAATTTTTCCCCACTTGCCTGCCAACTGAGGGACTCTGAGGCAGTTCACAACCCTCAAAAAAATTATAATAAAGTCAATTTTTTAAAAAAGAAGAGAGCAATAAAATGAGAGGGTCTAAGAGCCAGACCTTCATGGTTTTTTTTTAGAAAACGCAGAAAGATCCATTTGGATGGATACTTTGCAGTTTCCAGCCAATTGTGGTTAAATAAAGGTGGTTTAGTTGTTGTGTGAATCAAATCATCTCCAAGCATCGGGCGGTAAGAAGAAAACTTAATAAAATTTAATTTAAAAATTCATATTAGCTGTCAGTATGAAGCTTTCCACAAATGTACCAGTCTTTCTTAAAGCCATTATCTTGCAAGGATCACACTGCATTTTATGGCAAGCAACACCATGAATTAATCATACAGGCTCTGAGGAAGTCATATGTCTTCCTTCCACAAATACAAACTTAATTTTTCAAGCAAACAAAAATTCACGGAAGGGTGAAAGGTTGCACATCTTTAATCTATGGTGATTAGTCTGAATAAAGCCCAAAGGCTCAAAAGTAAGAAAAGTACCTCACTTTCTCAGTGAGGCAACCTCTCTGGTTTTAAATCTTCAACAGCTTTATCCTTGTCCACAAATTTAGGTCTAAATTATTATTACTGCTTTTGTGAAGAATTGGAAGGGAATCTCTCCCTTTTCAACACATTGCTTTAGAATTTATGACTAATTAAAATCATTTTTGACTTCATGACAGGAATAGCTACTTTTTTCTTTTCTTTTCGCCTCCACATCTCTGCTTGAAACCTTCTCTGGGGTGAAAACTGACTTGCCAGCAGAAATCATGAAAATTCATAGCTTTGCTGATGACTTTAATAAAGGGAAGGGGGTTACCCAGCCCCCTTCTTCCAAAACAGCCAGTTCTTCCTTCAAGATCAAGAAAAAGAAAGCGCTATTAAATCAGGCTTACAGAAATTCCGCTATTCTTCCTGGCTTATCGGCTCTTAATTTTTATTTGATGTGGACAGAGTTGCATCTTCACTTATTTAAGAAGGGTGTTCTAAATCACTAATCTGGCTTGGGAATGCTGGGAGTCCAAGCATCTTGAAATGTGCTGGCTGGGGAATTCTGGGAGTTGAAGTCCACACATTTTAAAGTTGCCAAGGGTGAATTCTCTTAAACCTTCCTTCCCAATCTGAAGTCTTACAAATGTTTGGGAATGAGACAACCTCCAGAATCCCCAGGCAACACGATCCATTCTGAAAGAAGTAATTGTTCACTCCAGTTTGGGAAAACTGCTCAAAACTTTCAGCAAATCGTTTCAATACAGGCCACCTTCCATCACCCTTCTTACTCACCGTCACAGTTGCTGAATTTTAACTGTCTTATTAAGAAGTCCAGAGGATTCTCCGGCTGGTGGATTAGCAAATTTCCCAGCAAATCCTAGAAATGAATCAATGGAACTAAGTCAGAAGGAAGCAATTTCTAGTCCCGGTTCCAAACGTTTTCACAGATCCAAAGGTTTGCAAAGTCAGAATTAACTAGGAAAAGCCCTCTGGTGAAAAATGGGTGCATTTTTGAGCCCCTGTTTTTTAGAAACAGGTACAATGCCACTGGAATTTTGCTTTCTTGCAGGCAATTCTGCTCATGCTACTGACTTGGGGTGGGGGGAGAACTTCCTGGTTTATATTACACAAAGACGGCTAACATTAAAAAATAATAATTCAGAAGCACATTAGTAGACCTGCAATTGGAAAGGATTGTATCTAACAACAATAACAAAAAGCTGCAACAAAAACAAAACTTCGTGATGTTTTTTAACTCACTTTTTAAAATGTTACTTTCTCACCCCAATCTTGCTTCCAAGTTTGGAAACATTTTGAAAAATTAGTTTCTTTATTGGACTTCTATCAGTCAGCAGAAGAACCCACAATTATTGTACTGGGATGTAGGTTGTATTGTGATCCTATTCCTAGTCCCAATTTAGGCATGAAAGCTGGCTGGTGACATTGGGCCAGTCACCTGGATATCCTGAGTTCTAATCCTGCCTTAAGCAAGAAAGCCAGCTGGGCGACTTTGAGCCGGTCGCTTTATCTCAGCTGAGCCCACCTCACAGGGCTGTTGTTGGGAGGAAAATAAGAGCGGAAGGCATAGGTATTATGTAAATTTGATACTTTGAGTTAATTATAAAAATAATAACGGCGGGATTTAAAAAAAAGAATCTAAAACAAGGATAAAAAAAAAAAAATAAAACAAATCGAGCTGTCCCTAAAGCAACTTCTCATTTTTGCAATCATGTTTGTGCGCCCTCTTCCTCTTATAAAAATCAACTGGAGCAACAACAACAAAATGCATTTTCCAGCCTTTACAAAATGCATGACTTTTGCAAAAGTTTGTGATTTAAAAATTGCAGCAACCCTGCAAAAATCACACATCTACACCAACTCCAGTGCCCCTATTCCCCAGCCTGGATGGGCGCTGTAGTCCTTCAACTTTGCAAGAGAAACAACGTTCCGCAGGGGGCAAAGCAATGCGAAGCCTCGCTGGGCGCAGAGCATGCTGGGAGGCGTAGTTTCCTCGCAAGGCAGCTCGGCCAAGGCTGCGGTGGGAGAATTTCGCCGTTGTCCGCGCCCCGAAGACAGGGGGACGGCGGCCGTTCTTCCCCAAACCAGCCGGCAAGGCCCGGCTTCCCCTCACCTGCATCATTTCGAAAAGACGGTGCTTCTCGGCGTAGAGGCCCATCTGCGGGGGGATGTACAGAGGCCTCTTGGTAGCGTCCATGGCGCCCTTAGCAACCGCGCGTCGCTATGCCGCAACGCTCATAATAGGAGACGAGCTTCTCCCGCGGTGGCGTCATCACTTCGCGACAGACCTTCCACCGCCGCTAGCTAAGGTAGGCGGAGAGGCCTGGGGTTGCGTCGACTGGGGCGGCCGCTAGAGGGCGGCCGAGAGGCGCTTTTGCAAACGCGTTGACTTGCAGGACTCCCTCCCCCCCCCCTTTTTTTGCGCGCACGGGTTTCTCCCAGGTTGTGTGAACGCGCTCGCGTTTCAGCTCCCCTCCCCGGCTTCTATTGCACCTCTCTCCCCCCCGCCCCCCATTCAAACCTTTTTTGCAAGGGGGAGCAGCAACCGACTGCTGCTCCCCTCCCATTCCCTTCAACCCTTTGGCCAAGGGGGAGAACAGAAGCAACCGACTACATGCCTCGGGGGAGCCCCACCACCTCATACAGCAAGGCAAAGGGACAAACAAGACAAAGACAGTCCGGAGGTGTCCGGCCAGCAGGCAAACCTTTCCAACCTTTCTGCTTTTTGGCCACGGCCACAAGCTCTTAGCGGGCTGGTTGGCAGGTAGACTGCTCCTGGCTCTGGAGGCTCTGCGGAGCATTTATTTATTTATTTTGCAAGAAACCAGGCGTTCTTTTTCTGGCTTTCCCCGGCTGGTCTCCACGTGTAAAGGGGTGTGGAGGGAGGGGCCGTGGCGGCTGTGAGCAGGGCTCCCGCCCCTCCAGTTGCCCCGGGAGACGCGTGTAACAATTGCCCGGCCGGCCTCGGGCTTTGCAAAGGGTCGGGCGGGGGAGTGAAGAAGCCGCTGGGTGCATCATCCCGCTGGTCGTCGCCGGCGGCAGCAGAAGCAGCAGCAGCAGCAGCGCGTCTGGGACATGCAGAAGAAGCGGGGGAAAGAATAAAGGTGAGCCGAGCCTACCTGGCAGGTGGCTCTTCAAAGGGGGCGGGCGGGGGGGCCCTTTCCACGACGGCCCTGAGTTCCGATCCCGCCAACCATTCCCTCTCCAGTGTCTTTGCACACTTCCCTCCCCCCGCTGAACTCTCAATTTATCATTGGGAGTTCACACGTGTTTATTCTCCATCATCCAGGTCACGGTGGTCCTGAAAGTGCTTTTTTCTTTTCTTTTTTCCCCATGAAAGCTGGCTAAGTGACTTTGAGTCAGTTCCTCCCCCCCCCCCCCCCACTCTCTCTCAGTTCAACCCACCTCACAGGGTTGTTGTGGGGGAAATGAGAGGAGAAAGGTGTGCTGGATTTGTTTCTCACCATTTGCAAATAATAATAATAAAAGCGGGGTCTAAATAAGCAAGCAAGCTCTCCAAGAAAAAAGCTTAAGAAACACGGATTTAAATAAATATGTTTGCACACCTTACAACAGAGACTCTGGAAAGTAAACAGCAAAGCCACCCCAGTGAATTAAAACAGAAACATCAATGACAAAAACCTTCAGTTGTATCACACATGCCGGAGGGCCTATAAACCTAATTCTGGATATTTTACTTTTTCTCCCATCGCCATTCAGCCCTGCTGTTGCGTTCACAAATTTTGAATAAACTCCCTTTCCAGGTTTGACGCATTAATCCACCTAACCCAAGTTTTAAATGACACAGTCGGGTCTGTGACATCTCTTCATTTTTTTTCCGGTGCATCAGTAGAGGTTAGAAATCATTTGTTTAGCGTCGATTCAAAGTTACGCCGCTGGGAAAAAAAAAAAAACACCAGGCTCCACGCTTATGACTGTGGTCATAACCGTCAATGGTCATGTGATTAAAATTGGGGGACTTTGCATCCGGCATGTAATTTAGGACAGTTGCAACCTGCTGGAGTCGCGATCTCCATTTTTGCGACCTAAATCGTTTAACAACTGGCAACAGGTTGCAAAGTGAGGCAGGAATTCCAGAACCGCTCTGCTTAGCAACGGAAATCCTGTCCCCATTGTGGCCATAAGCTGAGGACTACCCAGCTTGCTTATTTATTTATTTGTTTGCCACCCGTCTCGTGTCCAGCGGCTCTGGGTGATTTACAACCTTAAAAACATTGAAAATGTTACCCCCCGCTGCCAAAAAAAATCATCGGACCTGCTTTTCTTCCTTCCAGGAGGGGGAGAAAAATGAATGAAATTAAGGAAAGCCTACGGAACATTGAGCAGACGTATAAAATCTTCCAACAGCAGCAGTTCACCTTCATCGCTGCCCTGGAACACGTCCGAGAGAACGCCCACGATAAAATTAAGCCCGTGTCCAGCATTGGGCAGGTAAGAGGGGGGTGTCCGTGCATCGCCATGCTTGGAGCCGAAGAGTGGGGGGAGGGGGAGAGAGACTGTGAGAATGGAGGAGGGGAGCAAGGGTTTTGGAGGAAGGGGGTCAACCTGCCTGCCGAAGCCTCCGAGGGCAGGACAAGAAGGAAGACGTGGAAGAACACTGAGGAGAGGTCCAGCCGTTGGTCCAGAGTTTTATGGGGGGACTTCTGCCTCGCACTACTAGAGGACCTCTAAGGTCCCTTCCTTAGATTCTGTTATTTCCAATATTGGAAGGGGAAGAGAAGAAAGCGTTGACTTATTCTCCAAAGCGCCGGACAAGAAAGTAACAGGAGGGATTTATCAGAGAGAGAAGCAACCCAGAACGAACGAGAAACTTCCTGACAGTGAGAAGAATTAATCAGTGGAAGGGCTTATCTCTTATCTCTTCAAGAAGAGATTGGACAACCGTTTGCCCGGAATCGTATAAGATCTCCTGCTCAAGCAGTGGGTTGGACTAGAAGACCTCCAAGGTCCCTTCCAACTCTGTTATTAAACTAGGAACATGTGAAGTACTTTCAAGATATCTCCAGTTCTATCCGTTTTTCTTTCTCCTTCATGGGTTGTTTCGACCTAGTTAATAAAAGCACACAAAATCAGAAAAAAAGGACCCTGAAACACACACACAAAAAAAAGGCATGTGACGGTTTGACTCATCTCCTTTCCTTGACTTGCTGAAAACTTTTCTCCTCCCAATGGAGGAAATGGAGGGCAGGGTCCCACAGTGTGTCGCGAAAGCATTTGGAGGCACCTATTAAAAGTAATGGCTCTTGTCGCCCCCGCGGGGCTGTGATGGATGGAGAAGTGCCTGCTAGAGCAACATGATGAATGGCGGTGGATGGAATTATTTTCGTTTCCCAGACTGTGGGGACTCACGTTAAAAACAAAAGAACAGTCAACTCTTAAGTGAATCGGGGAGGAGGGAGGGAGGGAAGGAAGGAAAAGGAAGAGGAGAAGATGAAGATGATGAAGGAGGAGACACCTTATATGGGTTATCTTTGAAGTAATTATTTTAAAAAGAAAATGAAGGGATGTCTCACGGATTCAACCTTCCTTAACTACTGTAGCTGTGGGCTGGGCTATCACTCAACTAGTCCTGTCTCTGTTATCAGTAAACTCACTCATCCACTTATCTATCATCTATATCTTTCTACTTACCTACCTATCTAATCTCTGTCTCTCCCTCCCTATGTCTATCATCTCTCTAATCATCTGTCTCATAGCTGTCCATTTCATCTGTCTTCTATCTCTCCATCCATCTCCTGTTTTTTTATCATCCATCTCCTCTATCATCCATCCACCCATCTACCTACTTCCTGTCTGTTTATCATCTATCCATCTCCTCTTATCTATCTTATCATCTATCCATCCACCTCCTCTGTCTGTTTGTCATCCATCCCTCTCCTCTTCTCTGCCTGTCCATCCATCCATCCATCCCATAAGTTTTGAGGCCTGGACCCTGGCAAAAAAGAAGCCGAGTTGCAAAAGAGGCGCGAAATAATTGTTGCGGCAGCTGAACTCATCCTAACCCAGGCTGAACAACCAGGGCGCTATACAATCCGTTGGGACTGGCCCACGTCACCTTCTCCCAACTGCCTGCAAAGGAAGCCCAAACCTTGGAGGTGTACCTACCACCAGCACAACCACAATCCAAAGACACACACACACACATACAAAGAGAGAGAGAGAGAGAGAGAAAGAAAAGAGATTTTATTTTGATCTACTACATTCCCCCATCAGGGGTGCGAGCACAAGAGAAGGCAGGAAAGAGGATTTGAAATCTGGTGGGGCCACTTAAAAATGAAGTGTCTTCCCTCTTTCTCTCTCTCTCTCTTTTTTCCTGCTGAGTTGGTCACCCCGGGATCCAATTAAGCTCAGCAACGACCAGGAACAGCTCCGGTGTAGGAACCATCTTGCCTGCTAACAGCTGACCTGAGACCCATCCAGCAGCCAACTGAGGATTGCGGGTTTGCAACACAACGCCAGCCAGTCTCGGATTGGAGTCGGCAACCTCTGCACCCACCCCATTATTAGCTTCCCCTCAAAACTTTCCTCCTGACTTTTCAGGGAGGGGGGGGGGAAACGGGATGGCAGGGACCAAAACTCGCTAGATAATGACTAGCCTCGGGGAGGGTTTGTGGTGTTTTGTGTTGCAGTTGGGTTTTTGTTTGCAAAAGTTTTTCGCTCCGCTGCCCGAAGGGGCAAAAGCGTGAAAACTGCAAAGCTGGCTGGAGGCGGGCTTATTACCTTCATTCAATAGGCCTAACCTGGTTAATGAATTTCCCTCTGGCTTTAGGGTGACAAAATGACAAAGAAGGGTGTGTGTATGTGTGTATTTATTGTACACAACACTGCCTGTCTTCTGCCCCGTCCTCGCTCTGCTTGTTCAACAGGTGCAGACCTACACGGACCACTACTGCACCAACACAACCAACAAGCGCATTCTCTTGATGTTTCTCAACATCTGCTGTGAACTGCACAAGCTTTGCCAACGGCTGGAATCCCTGCACCCTGGAAACGCCACCACCAACGCCATCTTGGAGAAGTGCAAGATGTACGTCAGCCACAGCAACGACCTCAGCGGCCTCCGGGCTAAGTAAGGCTCTGTAGTCCCTCTTGTCCTCTCCAAGCCCAGCCTCCCTCCAGTTAGCTTCCCTATAAGATTTTAACGACCAGCGTTTCCCTGAAAATAAGACCGTCTCTTATATATAAATATTTTTGGCCACCAAAAGAAGGCACCGGGTCTTACTTTTGGGGGGGAAGTCATCCACTGACTGATTACACTTGTGTAAATGCCCCCCCCCGCCTCCACTTTGCTTTCACAGGGTTTGAGGAACTTCTTCCTGCTCCTCCTCCTCCTTTCTCCCTTCTCCCTATAACTCCTTCTCTATACAATTCTTTCCTTCTCTTTTTCCTCCTTCTCCTTATAACTCCTTCTCCTCTAAATAATTCTTTCTTCTTCTTCGTCCTCCTTCTCCTGATAACTTTTTCCTCTACACAATTCTTTTTCTCCTTTCCTCCTTCCAACTCCTTCTCTATACAATTCTTTCCTTCTCGTCTTCTTCCTTCTCCTTATAGCTGCTTCTCCTCTACATAATTATTTCCTCTTCTTCCTCCTCTTTATAACTCCCTTCTCCTCTACATAATTCTTTCCACCTCCTCAGATACCCTCACGACGTGGTGAACCATCTCAGCTGTGACGAAGCCAGGAACCATTACGGCGGGGTAGTCAGCCTCATCCCCATCGTCCTGGACTGCATGAAGGAGTGGGTGGCTCACACGGAGAAGCTTCCCCGGAACATGCTGCAGAGCGTGAGTGCCCGCAAAGCGGCCATCCTCCAGCAGATAAACTTGCCAACCCGGATCAAGAAGGGCTTTGACCTCTCAGGCCGGCCCACTTTCGTCACCGAGGCTTGCCAGACCAAGCTCAGCTTGGTGGACAGGGCTCAGAAGCGGGAGAATAGGCGGGCGGCTAAAATAAAACAGATGGGTGGCCTTGGGCGAGCCATTCAAAAATTCCTCGACGGTCCCTGGAAACCGCCTGGTAAAAATGCTTTTTGAAACCCCACCAAATATAGGAGGGTGAGCTGGAGGGGGCAGGAGAACGGCACAACCCACACACTCGCACGGTGTCTAGAAATTAAAAATTAGTCTCCCTGGAACTGCTTCAGCGATGGCCTTTTCTGAGAACGGTGCAGAAGAGAGAGGCCGTGCTCGGTGGTGACCGCAGGTCATTTTTTTCCCACCACCTGCTTGGTTGTAGATCCTGGTGGTAGAGCCAGATCCCAGGATGACCTACCCGAGCCACCTCTCAGCTGGATCCCAACCCTACTCCGATTTGCATTTTTGTTTTTTTTTGGCGGGTGTAAAACCCAAGCAGCGTTGAACGGAATCGCCGCTTAAGCCCACTAGCTTGAATTCAAGGTTGCGTTGGCCAACGGGTCAACGGAGGCGTCTTATTTTTTTGTGGGGGGAGGGAGTTAGGAAGTCATGTTCCCACAGATGGTTCTATTCTGGATTGCGGGGGGGGGGGGGGGGGGGGGGGGGGAGTCAGAAATTTCACCCATCAGTCAAAACCTTGTTGGGTTTTGTGGTCTAATTCAGCTCAGATTCTGTTGACTTGGTGGAATCCCATCGAGTCAACAAACATCATGTTCCTTGAGTGCCAATCAAGTCAACCTTGTTGACTTTGGAAGCCTGTCCGTAGCTGGGTAAGTTGATCAGGCCATCTTCGATTGCGTAATCCAGTTGGGATTGTTCAGTTCCAAAAGGCAGCTAGATCAGATTCTACCTTCCGGTCAAATCTCTGCCATATTCCCAGATTAAAATCATGTGCAGCCCTAGTGCCAATCCCTTGTATGGGTCTGTCCCCCAGTGGTTTTCCAAACTGATCCCAGAGCAGAAATACTTAAAATCAGGACCTTTGGGGATCAGGGAGCTGAAGAAGCTTCCGATTGCAAGATCCAATCTGAGTCGGTCACCAGGATCAACTCAAGATTGGATCCTGGAACATGTAAACTGCAGTTCATTTTTTAAAAAAATTTGAGAAGCAACTTTCTAACCAGGTTATGCATTTGCAACCCGAACTAACATGCATTTGGAAGCTGGAGTTGAACTATTTGGAAAACTCTTTCTTCTGGATATCCACCGCAGGGCCAGAAAACTGTTAAAACTTTTTTTTTTTTAAAAAAAGACCCGTGCAATATTTGATCTCCCAATTCTGCTCTTTTGGGTCTGATTGTGGTTTTTTTCTTCTTCTTCTTCCACCTTCTCACAGGCTTCCTAAACTACCTCTGCCCTTCTTTTTTTTTGCTTCCAACCTGAAGACGCTTCTGAATAAAGCCATTTCCCTTGCATTTAATGCTCTCTGCTAAAATGTTCACCATCACATTGTTCGTGGCTAAGTGAGATAAGCCACTGTAGGAACATCCCACCCTCACCCTCCCAGCCACCCCCCCCTCCCACCCCAATTTTACCCTGGTATGAGATGCTGAACCACGAACTGCATGGATGGGTTTGGGGTGATCTGTGGGTTGGTCGTATCGGAGCAGTTTGCGGGGGGGAAAAACACCCAGATTTTCCTTCTTGACTTACAACCGGTATGAAAATCCTTCTAGTTAAGCCAGTTAGGCCAGGATGGGTATATAGACCATGACGGTTTTTTTCTCCCAAAAAATGTCCAATTTGCTCCCTCCAAAGCATTCTGGATGGTTTTATTTATTTCCGGCATCTTCTTAATCAGAAAATACCGGTTAAGTCCAATTGCCCAACATTTCTGCTGCTAAGCCAGACGGCGGTTAATTCTTACCCCCATTTTACCGCCTTTCCTCCTATGGCGGTTCAGCCAATTGCTGTATTAATTTAGTCACACAGCGGTGAAGCAAATCTGGCTTGGCTTGTCAGAAGGTTGTAAAAGGACCCCACAGTCGTCATAAATCCGAATCAGCGCCCACATTTTCATGCTTGTAGAAACGCTGCAACAGTTGCGAAGACTGAAGACCGGCTGTCAGTGCCTTTTTTTTTTTTTTCTTCAAATTTTTAAACAAATGGTTGTAACTCAAGAACTCCCTGTATGGTAAGGGTTTTTAAAACTCTTTCAAAAAAATAATAATAATAAACCACGTTTCCCCCTTTCTACTGACACCTTAGAAAGCCAAAACGTGCCAAGGATTGTTGGAGAGTTTCTTCTCTTCGGTCTCAAAATAAAATGAATAATTGAGCTCTTTCAACCCACACACCTCCAGCTCCTGCGGCATAAAATGTTTATTATTTATGGTGGTGTTTATAGAACCACCCTGGCTATTCTGCTCAGCACAAGAAAGCAAGGGTGGCCATTTATTTTTCTCTTTTTGTTATCTGGCTGGATTTCTCTTCCCCCCAAAAAAAAAGAAAAGAAAAAAGAAGATATGTCAAGATTTCTTTCAGCTGCCTGTAAACAACTCCTCCTACGCCTTTTTCAAGCGAGGTCCAGGTATTAAAGTGGGATCTTGTTTTAACCATCCCTGGTTTTTTAAGTTTTGCAAACCAGAGATGCTTGGTATCAAGTTTTCATCCCTCTAAAGGCAGGTTTTAAGGAGGGGGGGGGGAGGAGGGTAAGATTCACCTTCGTAGCCAAACAGAATACGGAAAAATGGCCTTTAGAGGCTAAAGCCTCTAAAAACAGCGTTTCAAATAATTTTTTTTTTCAACTAGAAAAACAAAACACCAAATATGTTAAAAAAAAATTTTTTTAAAGTAGATCCCGGAGTGTTTGATCAAGAGGCAAAGTTCGAGTGATGGAAAATTGGGTCCAAGTGAACTCCCCCCACCTCCTTTTTTAAAAAAAACCTTTCATAAAAGCCCAAGTTTGAAAAATTCTGATTTAACACTCCATTCCTGCATTGTTAGCCAGGTCCAATGCCACAAACCATTTGAAAAGCTTGAGACGCCACCTCGAAACGAGAAAACAGCAAAAACTTTTATAAAGGAGAAAGAAAGAGAAAAATTGTGCTTTTCAGGGAAACGTGTCGGCCAGTGATGGAGCAGCCACAACTTCTGGAGGCAAGGAGTTCCACTGATTTAATTGTCGCCCCCCCCCCCCGTCAGGAAGTTCCTCCTGAGTTCCAGGTTGCTTCTCTCCTTGATTAGTTTCCATCCGTTGCTTCCTGTCCTGCCTTCTGAAGGGGCTTTGGAGAATAGCTTGACCCCCTCCTCTTCTCTGGGGCAGCCCCTCACCCCATGTCCTTCTTTCCATCAGACATCAGCCAGTTCCTGCAACCATTCTTTATACTTAATCTTCCAGACATCCATTGCTAAATTAAATTTCTCCACACCCATCCGGAGCAGGTTTTGAAAACCTTTCCCCAGGAAATTCGAAGCCAATATTCGAAAAAAATATATTTCAATTTCCTCTCTCCGCCCAGGCCTGCTGAAGTGTTTGTCCTGGTGACCCTGTTACAATTTTTCCCAAAATGGTTATATACAGGATGGCTCCCAATTAGCAGATTTATTCTGGGGGGGGAGGGGGGGAAGAAACACCTCTCACCCCTAAGGTGAATGAAAAACAATATTTTTTTTAATTTGTTCACAGTTAAACACAAGCAACTGCCTTGATGTATTAGAACATTCTAGTCAGGTCAGCAAAACACCCTCGGTTCAGTTTTGCTTGTGAAATGTCTTGTTTAGTTTCGATTGTACCATTTCGTAGCATCACTTCATCATCACTGTGGCATCCCCTCCCCCCCTTTTTTAAAAAGTCAATTTATTTATTTTTAAATCATGCTTACAAAGAGGAAGGAAACATTCATGTTTTATAGACAGCTGGGTTTTTCTTTTCTTTTTTTTAAAGGATTTAACTAAAAGAGGCCCATTTTTTTCTTCCTTGAAGGGGGGAAGGAAACAAAGATTATTTTCAGCTTCCCTGATGAGAACTTTTCTCCCCCCCTCCCCAAATTTGCAAAAAGAAAAAAAAAGGAGCCAAAAAACAAGAACTTCCATTATGTACGCTACATCCATGATTGAAAGATAAGGGGATACGGAAAGTAATTAATTCCTCCACTTTTTCCTGCTGGGGAGAAGAAAAAAAAAGGGGGGGGACACAGGGCAATTCCACCAATAATTCATCGTGAAGGTCATCTGCATCTTTTCTAAAAGCCAACGAAGAAGAAGGAATCGGGTTCTAACCTCGGAGGGAAAAGATGGGATTATGTTGACCATTGAAAACCAAAGAGGCCCTTTTGATTGACACTTAAGAAAGGTGTTTCCTTCCAGAGAGACACTCGTGAAGGTGATTTCCAAACCCGGATAGCTAAAATGAAGAAATAGGGTTGGGGAAGTGAAAAAAAAGTCAGCCTCTTGTCAGTGACCTGGATCTGCAAATCCATCTAGGAGAGTTTGGGGTCTCCACAAACTGATGTGATTTCAACTCCCAGAATTCCTCAGTATGGCTGGGCTGGGGAGTTCTGGGAGTTGGAAGTCAAGTTGCCGGTCTGGAGACACACACACACACACACACCCAGGTGGGAAGGACCGTACCAAGTGTTCACAAAGACGGGGGGGGGGGGGGGGCGCTATTCCAGGTAGAACACCTGTGGAATAAAGAGGTTGGGAAACTGGGTTGGGCTGAAAAAGGCTTCGCTGGGGAATTCTGGGAGTTGGAAATCCAGAAGTCTTTTAAGAGTGGCCAAATCTGGAGAGCCCCTGCTTTAGAGATGCCACAAGGCATCATCATCATTCCCTAAAATTACTGCCATTTAACTCTCTGAGCCCGTACTTGGATAACGCTACAGTCCCCATCAGCCACCTCCTGCCTTCAGCCCACCCATAAAAAAATAATAATAATAAAGCTGGAAAGGGTGGAATAAGGCAGTTCACCATTTTCCCTGACACTCTGCCAGCCTGGCCTCGCACTGCTCGCCTGAACACAGCATCATTAAACCCCACTGAATGCTTGCCGTGTTTTTCCGCTCAAACAACATCTATTTAAACTCAACGCCTTGTCTGGGGAAACCTTGAGGAAGGGCTGAAGAAAGAGGCATCTTTTTTCTTTTTTTTAAAGAAAGGTTTGGTTTAAGAAATGTTCAAAGTACCACTGGAGGAAGAAGGAAAAAGAGGGGGGGGAAAGAGCAAGAGATGGCAATTTGGGGGGGACCTTAGCTTTCTCTGACGAAAAGGGCCTCCTCCTCCAAGGCCTGGCTTTTTGTGCCCGAAGGGGTAGAAAATATTCGGAAACGGAAGGATGCCCTCTGTGGTTCTGAAGGATCAAGGTGTCACTCGTGCTCTCTGACCACCTCTTTCTTGTGAAAGAGAGACAACGCAAACGGGGGGGAGAAAAAAGCATTTGAATATTCGAAGGGCCAAGTTAAAATTCAAGAACCACAATTGCTGGCTTGCCAAAAGTATCTCCTTCGAAGGTTTTGAGGATTGGAGAAAGAATTGTCCCAGGCCTGATCCATGTGTGTGTGTGTGTGCACACACACACCACACACCCCAGTCCCAATGGAGGTTCCAATCCAGAGAAAACCACTAAGTGCTTCAGACCGATGGGTTTTGGTGTTCCACCCTGGAGACTGGGGAATGCTAGGAGGCGCCCAGCAATGGATCGTAAACCTCTGACAAGTAACCGGAGATTGGGTTATTTTAAAAAAAAAAAAAATGGAAGGATAAACCTCATTTTGGGGTTTAGATGGAACAGAAAACCCCGGCAAAGGAGATCCTCCTCGTTTGGAGGAGACGCACAGGGGAAAGGTGGGGAAAAGAATGGATTTTTTTTTCCCCCTGCCATAAATCTCCTCCTATTATAAAACACTCACCCATCGACAGGAGGCTCTTCTTCCTTTCCATTTAACAGAGATCAAGCCAGGCCGGTTATCAGCTTATCCGACTAGGGAGAAACAGAGCTGAAGAGAATAAAGTGTAAAGAGAAATAGTGTTCTGAGAGGATGCAGGGCGGCTTCCCAAACGCAAGGAGCCGCTCTTCCCAAAATAAAAAAAATTATATCCGCACACAGAAAAATGGGAACCACTTTGGGGTGTGTGTGAGGGAGGGAGCAGGGGTCGTTTCGAAAGGGGAGGAGGAGGGAGGGTGGGGAATGCAGATCGAAATCCTAAAGGTAGGATTTAAAACCACATAAACATCAGAGCAGAGTCCAGCAGGGCTTGAGAGTATTGGGCCCTTTTAAAAACAA